ATATGGGTCATCGTCAGGGAATGTTACCAGTTGTGAAGGTGTTCAAGTGAGTACTTGAACACCTAAAATGCTGGTAACATGCTCTAATGATGACCTATATACCTGGGTTGAAACGTTGGCAACAATAAAAATCTCAAAACGACTACGTCCTGACTTCCTTCAATATATCACTTGAAGTTCAGGCATCGCCCCTATATATGTTCTTGCTGGATGTATGAACCTTATTATGTATTAATGGGTTCAAAACTGTCTATCACTGGTGCATTTACCTTGTATACGAAGCGCGACATATACAAATTGGATATCAAGCTCTTTTTCTTAATCTATAACTCATATAGATCCTGAATTAACTAAAGCAATTTCTTAAATAAATTCACAATTATTTAACTATTGAATGAAGAAGGCATTACACAACTTACTGTATATTTCCAACCAAACAACCTTTGGATTGACTGAATAATTGATAATAGCGTGTACTAAAACATGCTAAGTCAAGTTAGTCTAACCAGTAATTGTTAAGAAAAATTCAATTGAGACACCATTATATATTGTTTGTCATATGAGATATACGCCGTGCTCATTCATCTGGATTTAAATTGTACCCGAACAAAAAGTTTTAAAGTATCACGTGTTGACTGAAATCATTAATAACTAATAATTCTGAATTCGATGTGCCGTTGACAAAAGAATTGAATAAAGATTCCATCTGTTCATAGATACGTTTTCCTCACCATCTGGCTTATCTTAGTTAAGAGAGATAATTGATTACAAATATTTATAATATATTATTTGTGAAACAAAACCGTGTTCAATGCTGCTATTTAAACAAAAATACGAAAGTTTTTTTGAAAAAGAATTTTGATGCGAATCATTCTAATATCCAAGTGAGATAATATTCTACTTTATAATGTGAATATAAAACATTAAAATATTATACTTTTCCATTTCAGGCTTTCCATTCTGGTCGGGTGGCGATGGACCCCTCTCCCCCCTCCAAAAAAAAATCTCGGGATTTTATATAATGTATAATAATTATGACAGATAATTAACATAATTATTGTAAAACGGGCAATCTAATACTATATAAGAAAATAAACTTACATATGTTTATTCATTAGGTTTTTTTTTGTTGTAACAGATTGTAATATTTATCAATAAACAAGTAATCTAAAAAAAGATATTTTTGTGTGTATGGGTATATTTGAAAATATGTTAACAAAGCAATGAACATATTACATACTTTTATTTCTATTTAAAGCTTTGAGGCAGTAAGATGAATTCTCTGATGCTTCAAATTTGCTTCGGAAAATATGATAAAATATTTTTGTAAAAATGAAAGGGTGCCCAGAAATGAATCATTGTTATATTATTTTAGGGTAGGATTACGCATTTGATTCATTCATGTAGATTAATTGTTATTGATTTTCATTTTATTTTTGTTTTTCGAAATATTGGAGGGAGCGAGCGATACGATATACTTGCCTATTTTTATTGGGAGACCCCCTCCAAAGTCTGCGCCTATCATAATTAGTATTGAAATATGAATTGTAATGAATAGAGTTTAATAAACTTGTTTGTTTGTAAATATGTATTTACATCTTATCTCCGTTAAGAAGTTTAGACCACTTTATCTCAATATTTAAATTATTATATATATTATATAGACGATTATTGTTTTATAAAAAGGCCACATTACTCCCATAAATTGTAAAAAAATGAATAAAAAACATTTTGTAAAGCATAATTCTTATATTGATTAAATATAATAATTATATCAAGGTCCCAAAATAAAATGAAAAACCAAAATAAGATTGTTTATCATTAATATTTAAATTATTTTTCTTTGAGCTGTTTTAAATAAATATTAAAAAAAATATATATATCTTCCACGTTTAAGATCCGTATAATTTTGAAGTGCCTAAATTAGCAAAACTATGAGGAATTTGTAACGTTTGTTTAGAAAGACCCAGTGCTATTATTTGGAAATCTTCCAAAATTGTACTCATTATACATTTTTTTTTTCTAACATATCACTCATTTCTTTCAACAACCTCATAACTCAAAAATGGGTCATTTTTAGTTAATTCTGTTTTCATATTTACACGAACACACATCTTTAATTCAATATTTAGTACTCAGATACCAAAAGGTATCGTTTTTGCATTATAAAATATTTCATGTATTAAGTATGAACTTTTTGTACTGTTTCTTTTTGAAATATACAAAATATGAGTAACTGTTTTGTTCATTTAAATTTGCTAAATAATCTTTTCATTTTTCTTGCCGCTAAAAAGTCACATCTGATTTATTATTTTGTTCTATTAATGACTGTTATTAAATTTAATAGTGCAATTAGCAATGATAAATAGAATTATTGATATCTTAGACAGACTATGGAATTTTCTTAATGTTCCTAAAAAAGTAGAACGATTACCAATTCGTTACATGTTTTCTTTGAGAATCTCTCTGTTGATTGCGATTTTTCAATAAATACTCTAATTTTACTGATTTGCATTTTATTTATTTTATTATTTTTTTTTTTTGGGACTGGTGTTTAAACTTTTATATTAATTTTTTTCGCTTATATGATACAACTAAAATATGAATAACATTAATGTAAAACTTAATGTCAGGAACGCTGAGTATGCGTTTGGATGCCATGGAGTGAGTGATCTTGGATCCTTCGCGCTAAAGGGATCTTGGCTTTTTTTTTTTAACGTGAAACTTATCAAGAACGAATTATGCGAATTATGGATGTCACAGAGTAAAGTGTTGTTTTTTGTGTGTGTGTTTTTTTCCTGTTCTGATGTCTGAATTGGTGGACCATTGACATGTTTTTTTCAACAGACTGCACATTTAGAGAAAACAAGTCTGTACGTTTGGATTTTTCTTATTATACCCACAAAAATTTTCAGGAACATTTTTGAAGTGAATAATTCTTTCAACGAGTTTCTCAATTTTTTTGTGGAGGATGAATTAGATTGAGCCGTCAGATCTCCGATGTGTAACGCTCGGGTAAAGTCATCTGGAATCTACTTATTGAAGTGTTTTTCCATATGGATTAAAATATCTCAGAAACTAAAAATCGGATCTGCATATTGTTGGCATACTAAAAATCGGATCTGCATATTGTTGGCAAACTAAAAATCGGATCTGCATATTGTTGGCAAGGAAAATGTTCATCATTTCATCCTCTTTGTAATGAGTTATTATTCAAAATTGTATCTTAACGCGACGCCGTGTTAGAGAGTCAAAAAGGGAAAAAATAATGTCGAAAACCAAATTATAATGAGTTTTATAGAATGTATGGATTAAAAAATCATAAAAAATCGGAGCTGCATACTGTAAGCGAGGGAAATGTTGAGCATTTCATTCTCTTTATAATGGGCTAGTATTTATAATTTATATTTCATGTTATTAATCTCGCCTTGTTGATGTTTATACTTCTATCGTGTGGTCTAAAGCGCCCACTTTATTATTTTTATTATTATGATTAATTTATTAATAACATAATTTATTTATTATTAATTATTAAGCACACACTTTAGTCAATTTTTTTTTTAATATTCATTTTAATATGGTGAACATCCATGAGGAATATTAGGAGTATTATTCATGGCGCTTAAAGGAGGACGTTTTCTTTATATTTAAAATACTTGACAGGAAGTAAAGAAAATTTTAATCTTTTTCTCACACCTAATGTTTAAAATTAACGTCTATAATTGACATTTACGGCGTCCTGAGAGTATCATGAGAGGGCAATTATCTGTAATAAACGGAATAATTAAATTGATTTAAACCGGTTCAAAATATAATCCTGACGACAATTGGCTGAAATATCTCAGAGCTAGGTTAAACGAGGCAGATATTAATAATCCGCGAGGCATCCCTGTCACTCATTCCTATTCCTGGCTCAGCAACCTGCCTAAGGTGGGCCCAACAATCTTATCTATCTTCTGATAGCCTAACCCTTTGCTTCCCTCAGTCATTCGACGGCTAATAGATCCAATTATTATTACATCGGAATTATTATTACATTGTATATCGGAATACATCCAAATAGCCTTGTGTTTCTTCCTCGTTGTAATATATATATATATATATATATATATATATATATATATATATATACAGAGTCTCACAGTCAATATAATACACCAGGATATTTATAGAAAATATTGAAGATCTCCGAGTTTTGGACAACGGTGATATTTGCTGATGAAAGTAAATTTTATTTTTGGGTCCGATGGACGTTGCTACGTGTGGAGGAAACGTGCTTGCAAATAAACAATTTAACTCAAACCGTGAAAGATGGGGGGTGGCCAAAGATGGTGTTACGGTGTTGAGGTCTATGAAATCTTCATTTTATCGATGATATAGTGAATAAACATGTTTACATAGACATTTTGAGAAGAAAGTTCGGAAACGCTGGGGCTCAAACAACAAACAAAAGTTTTTATGGAGATAATGACTCCAAATACTCTGCTATATTAGTTAAGGAATGGATGCTTTATAACTTTCCCAAAGTTATAAAAACTCCACCAGATCTTAATGTAATAGAACACCTGTGGGAAAAATTAGAGGTAGAAATTATAAAACGCGAAATTCGCAACAAAAAATTGGTCGACTCCAATTCAAACGGACTGAAAGGAGTTGTAAAAATTAATAGCTTGCCTAAAAGGTATTGGACTGAATTAAATGTTTTTAATAGGAATACGAATACGAACTGTTGTATCATCTTGACTGTGAGGTAAAATTATCCCCTTCGTTTTTGTTTTGTTTTTTAAATAATCACAGTTGAATATTTTTAATAGCCTAGAAAGTTTGTCCCTGGAGTCCTTGGTTTCTCTCCACGGCCCTGGGCATTTATATGAACAATTTCATTTAAATTACGTTGAATATATTTTAAAAATATGTATTAAATTTTCCTATCATTAACTATTTTGTTGATGATCTGAAAAGTTTTATATGATTTTCAATTGTATTTATTTATTTTTCAGATATATGAAGTACCTCTACCCCTACGAATGCGAAAAGCGGCGGTTGTCTACCCCGGGGGAATTGCAAGCCGCGATCGATGGTAACAGACGAGAGGGTCGACGCGGAAGCTATGGTACTTACGCTGACATGTTGACGAGAAGCCCGAGCCAACAAAGCAGCCCCCTCAGCTTGGTGACCGGTGGTAGAGCTCCTCCTCCTCCTCCTAGCTCAGTCAATGGTACCGGAAACCATCACCTACACAACAACAACCACATTCCACCTCACCAAACCCTCATGGCATCCACGCTCACAGGTAAGTCAAAATTCATTAAATTAACCACCAAACATCTTATTTATATGGTTGACCGTAGCTCTAACTTAAGAAGTTGGTGGAGGGCACTTACAATGTGTTGTAGTTTATTTCATTCTCCAAAGTTTCGACCTACGTTCTTGATCTTCATCAGGATATTTCATCCAGCATAGCTTGACCGAGCTAGGGTACTCAACATCACAGAGCTTCTTCAGCTTCGATGAAAGGTCCTGAAGACCTAAGACTTAGGTGAAAAGATAGGCAAATGAAATAAACGCTACTACAAGATTTATTATGTGTCTATTGACCGCATTCCGGACCAACATCTCCTTAAATATAGGAGTTCTTAGATTCTGAGATTGGCTAAATAATGGCAAAACTATTTTATTAAAAGCCAACGTTTCGACCCGACTTTGCTAGGAGTTTCACTTAAAACTAAGTTCTAAATAGTTTTACCACTATTTAGCCTATTTATGACCGCCACCCCGGACCATCTCCTTCCTTTATAATGCAACGGTCAACTATTAAATATCCAACTTGAGTTATTTGCCTATATTGCTTCCTGAGTTTAATCTTTAACCTATTATTTTCAATCGTTTGAACCACTCTTTCAAAATTTAGTTTCTCTGTTAAGTACGTTTTCACTCAATAATTTTACCTTATTTTAATATGCCCCTTATCACAATTATGTTAATAAAAACAACATTTAATAATTGGTTCAATTTCTCATACTAATGTCCATCCCTGAATAAAAACTAAACATTTTTTTAAAGAAAAGGCCCTAACTACTGAACCAATGAAACTCGATTTACTCACGGAGAAAATGTAATAGATTTCTAATAGGTTTTACCTCGATTAATGACAATAATCAAGTACTAAAATGCTTTAATCAGAGTTTTCTTAGCAATTAAGTTAGAAAAAAAAATAACAAAAAAATTGTGCCAAAAATGTTGTCGCAGCGAAATTGTCTCTGAACACGTTCACTACTATCACAGTGACAATATGAGACTGAAATGGACGGTAGCTTCTGTGTCCAAAATTAGATATTCATTAATTAAGTAAAAAACATAATGTACAAATAACTCTAAAATGACGAATTTATTAGGTAACCTTAGACTGTTTCATATGTTCTTATTAGATCAGGACTTTTTTAACATTGTCAGTCTTTATTATATTTTACAACTTTATTTGCAGAGTAGCTTTCGATGTCCATGTACCATATTCATCCCTATAATTATAACACTTCAATTAGGATTAATTAATTGTTAATTAATGACATTAACAATACATGCATTCCATAATTTTGAATTGTCATGCAATTATTATCACATCATGCCATACCTTTTTCTATTGTTGTGTTCATGTTCATCGTCTCATGTCAACTCTGAAAGGATTTTAGATTATTTTTTTTTTTTTTATGTTTAAGTGAATAAATAATTTATTAAAATTTTATATACTGACTTCTCCAAGAATATAGGACTCCTCTTTGTCGGACACCATCTTACTGAGTGCTGAAGATTTACTGTCAGCGCCTTCTATAGTATCCCAACTATTTGGCAACTAAAGTTACCTTACCTTATTTAATTCACTATTAAATTTTTATGAATGGCTATTATATGTGAATAGCGTTGTAGGATGTGGGCCACTTCCTGTTTTGAATTTAGCACATTTTTTTTTTTGGTTTATTGTTATATTGGATTCTAAAATGTTTAACTTATCGATAGTTTGATTTTCGAAGTATTTTAATATTTTCGAAATCGATTTCATGTCTATGGTTTTTTGCGTGGTTTAATAAAGCGGTAAATGATTTTGAATTAGGTTTAAGGGATACTTTTGTGGTTATATATTTTTGTTTTTATATCGGTCGATGTCGATCCTATACAGGCGTCCCGTAAGTAGAGGGAAATATTTACAAGATTGGTAGTAGACATCAAGACCTACAAACAAGTTAAAATAAACAATAGCCCAATATCCAGCAGAAAATTAGGAAATTTAAGATTTGTGTTGTTTTAAGCGAGTCACGATTTTTGTTGAATAGGAATCGATAACTTGAAACATTTAATTTAAGTAATTGAATATTTCTCCATAGTAAACTAGATAAAATTTCTTTTAAAAGAAAGTAGAGTCTGTCATTGTGAAAAATATTTAAAGAGGACTATTGAGCGAATAGTAAAGTTACGTTTAAAATAATGTCATAAATTATTTGTGATTTTTTTTATCACCTTTCAACTGTACTACATGTACCCCACTTTTAGAAAAACTTTCTGTTTTAATAAACTTTAAATCCATATTAATTATTTTAAGGTTTTTTAGGAAAATTTTTGAGATTCATCACAAGTTGTGTAAGAAATCGTGTACAATATATTAACGTTATTATTAAATTAACACTTTTTAAGAATGCTCATATTAACTTATAAATGAAGCAGAAATTCATTTTCGTATTTGTATGTACTTGTAAAAAACTAATAATTTGCAACTGATCCGTATCCCGTATGAAGATAAATATTGACCTTCATTATTTTATTCTTTGCGCATTATGAGTTCATAATAAATTCGTGATCCTTTCTTCGAGGGAATAAATATCAAGTTTAGATTCATTTCAAAACATAATCAATCGTACTTTCGTTCAGCTATATCGGTCATGTTTCCTATTCTGCGACACCGAAGAAACCCCCTGGGTACCTAATAGATGTCCATAGTTTATTTATCTTCTATTTTATTTTTTTACGACTTTCCCTGCACCTGAGCATTAATAATGAATAAAAAATAAAGTGTGAAATGAAATGAGTAAAAATTGAATAAGATTTATTAACTCAAACTTAAGATAATATTACATTGGCGGTTCCAACGATGTACTGCTATGTTTCAACTTCAATTATTAATAAACTTCATCCTCTTCCAGTTCTCGACTTATCGAAATGTCCATTATGACAAAAACTAACCGACTGTAAACCTTAATTAACTGTTTTATTGACTAATTCTCGTAGAATTTTGTATGCTGAACTTATCTTACTTAGAATTCAAGAGGTTGCCGGTAATTTACATTTTTTCAATGGTGTGAAAATGTTTTTCCATATAGGATTCCATCATTGTCCCAGACATTGACTATCTTTTCATCGGGTTGCTATTCTGGGCTCGGTAGGTTATTAACATGACAAAAGGCAGCTTGGGATGAGTGTGAGAGATTGTGTAGCCGACGATATTGAATTTGTCAGCCTTTTTATCTACAGGAGAAGATCGACCAAATGATCATCTCTCCACCTTATAAGTTATAAGTTAGTTATAAAGCGATTTGAAATTGTAAAAAAAAAAAAAATAAATAAATAAAATGTAGTTTGAGACATCTCATATATGAGACACACATAAATTAGTAATATAAGCCTAATATGTAAAATAACTTTATGAGTAACTCAAGAATTAAGAATTTTCTTATGATACGTTTAGCAATATATATTTATAAAGAAATAATTTTATTCTAAATACTTTAGCTTGAAATTCAATTTTATGTTTAAGTAGTTTGAGCATGACTGAAATATTATTTCCAATTGTTTTTATGTTATTTTGGAAATAGAAACGTTTTCCCTTGCAACTTTTTACTAAATATTTTACAGAACATTTATTTAAAACTACAACTCTTATTTAAATGTTCTTTTAAAGTAATCTATTTCAATCAAGTAGTGTATTCAGGATAAATTCATATGTAAACTAAGCCCTATTGTTTATTTCTCATTTAACGTAACTCTTTTTTTAAGAACTTAAATAAATAAAAGTTAAACCTTTTACCATATATACCAATGGCGTTGGAAAATACTTCCTTAGAAGTTTTATTTTAAAAACATCTCAATCCTTGGTAAATACAAATCTAATGTTAGGTTATGATTGTGAAAGTTCCAAACCACACAGCCTTATATCGCCAAAATGCAGGAAAAGAAAAAAAAAACTGTCAAGATTTCGCCCATTCAGGCATCATCAGGACAGAAAGGAATCGCCTGAATTTTTCTTTGCTGCATTTTGGCGACATGAGGCTGTGTGGTTTGAAAATTTTCCAATTATAACATAATATTTATGTTTTGTATCTTGGTTAGTTTGTTACTTACTGACGGACTCTACAGTCCGAGGTGGCCCTTGGGCTTCTTCACGATATTTTTCCAATCCTCTCTATCTTTCATTCTTATCTTCCAATTTACCATTCACATTCTCTTTAAATCCTCTTCCGCATCACTTTTCCAACATTTTCTCGGTAGTGTCTTTTTCGTTGCTTTGTCATCAGGAGGTCTTTCTACGTGTCTTGGTCAACTAATTCTTCTAGCTTTAATAAAGCGTACAATATCCTCGTGCTTCAACAGTTCATCCAGCTCCTGATTTGTCCTCCATTATCCTTGTATGCATAGGGGACCAAAAATTCGTCTCATTCTTTCGAAAATCCTTAGTGTCTTCTGGTGAGCTACTTCCAGCGTCCAGGGCCAGGCTTCGGCTCCAAAGCTCACAACTGGTCGAATCACGGATTTGTACACTATGAGTTTTGTGACTATGAATAAGAGTTTAGATTTAAAAAGCTTTAGCATACCAAAGTACGCTCTATTGCCTGCCATGATTCTTCCTCTTATTTCCAAGGTAATTAAGTTTTCGCTATTGACTTGTGCCCCAAGATACGTGAAACTCTCCACTGCTTCAAAAAAAGTATTCCTGGAAAACAAAACCTTCTGTTCGGCTTCCTTCTTGAATCCGAGGTCGTTACTACCATATAATTTGTTTTTGTGTCGTTAACTATTAATCCAACCTTCTTTCATTCTACAACCAATGTCGATAGAACCTCAACTATTGCCGCTTTGCTTCTACCTATAATTGTAATGTTGTCAGCACATTCCAATATTTGTCTTGTTTGGCATGCTAAATTACCACATGGGGTGATTCCTTTAACTGCATTGTGTAGCGCCAAGTTAAACAGAATTGCTGAAATTGGGTCTCCCTGCCTTACTCCAGAATTAAATTGGAAGATTTCGTTAACCTGGTTGCCAATTAGTACTTTAAATTGTGTGTTCAATTAGGTGGATTAGTTTATACGGAATATTATATTCACGCAATGCACTAAAACGTTGGGCTCTTTTAATTTGGTCAAAGGCTTGTTTAAAATCTATAAACAGTATATGTACATCAATATCGTGTTCACAACTCTTTTCGAGCACTCGTCGTAAAATAAAAATCTGATCGCTAGTACTTCTGTCAGCCCGAAAACCACACTGGTAATCCGTTATGATTCTTTCTGAATACATTGTTAGTCTTTGTACGAGAAGGTTGGATAAAATTTTATATACGGCACTTAAAAGGGTTATTCTCCGGTAGGTCACAAATCATTTTATCAACTTTTTTTAATATTGGGAAAATTAAACCTGAGCACCATTCCTTAGGTATTTCCTCAGCATCAGATTACATAGTCTCTGTCGGAAAAATATCCCCACTAAACTGAAAATGTGTGCTCTTAATTTTGAGATCTCTCGATGCCGCAAATTCACAAAAAACCCAGTTTGTTACTAATTTATAACAATACCAATCTAATAAAACCATTTTTAAAAAAATGGTCATGTAATTTTATTTATTTTTAGGCACACCTGGAATGGTACCTTCAGACATTGAGTATCGTATGGTTGAGTATGTAAAATTACTTAACAAGGAGTTCAGGACACCACGTATGCATAAACCGAGTGAGTAAAATATCCTTCTTCCTTGTCTTCTCCTTATGCCATACGCGTCGAGGTGCCTCAATCCAGCGAAGCCACTCTTCCCGGTCCCTGCTTAGCCTCTTCATCCCTTCAGGCTTTTGCCTCTTTTGCTTTCAATTCTTTGGATATACTCTTGGTATGTAGTTCTGGGTTGTCCGCGTAGTCTCCTTCCTGTGGGTTGAGCCTCTAATGCCTTTTAGGATTCATGTCCTCGTTCATGCGGCAGGCATGTCCAAACCACTGGAGTTGCCGTTTTTCTAGAGTGGTTTTAAGTTCGGTTACTCCTACTTGCTCTCTAATGCTTTCGTTCCTAATGCGCTCCCTTCTAGGTCTCCCAAAATATCTGCGAAGGGACCTCATTTCTGCTGCCGTTATGCGACTAGGGTGTCTGTCCAGTGTTGTCCAGGTTTCTCCGCCGTAGGTGAGTGTAGGTAGGTAAACAGACTAATACACATGCATTTTGGTCTTCATGTCTACTTCGCGGTGGCCGATGATGCTATTAGTAGTCTGGTAACACACATGATTCGCCTTACATATTCTGTTTGATATTTCGACGTCTATCTTACCCGAGCCACTAATTACGGTCCCTAAGAAGGTATATTCAGTCACTACCTCAAGTTTCTTGCAGTTGCAAATTTTATTTTTTTAAACTTGTTTATTAAAAATATTACTATCTGTCTCAAAGGACATTTATAATAGTGTTCAGAGATCACATTCACACTCTACGTACAATAAAAAAAATAAATTATACAGAAAAATAATATATATACAATAAATAAGTATAAAATAACCTAAAAATAAATAAAAAGAACACATACATACCTATGTACACTATTTACAATCAGACGAGAACTCCTAGCCAGACTTGTCCCTCCAACTGTGGAGGGAAAAGCATGACTCCAGGAGATCTATGCACTTCTCTCTCAACCGCTTCACTGGAGCTAAACCCAGTGGTGATTAAGCGAGAGTGCTTTAGCTACATACACTCACTAGCGGATCCAGGATTTAATTTTGGGGGGGGGGGCTTCAGCCCGAAACCTTTTTTTTCATAAAAATAACGATAATTACTTTGGAAAAACAGAAAGAAACTAACTACCTATATGAAATGGTGTTTAATTTATTCCTTAAGTACTTTTAAATGTAATTACATGAACAATATATATTTTTAAATTTTTTTTTCCCATAAAACATGGTTATATTTTTCCATTTTGGGGGGGGGCTTCAGCCCGAAAGCCTCCCCCGTAGATCCGCCCGTGCATACACTCATGTCGTGAGTGGGGAATCTGGCCATTGCAAGAACTCCAATATTTACAAACTATAAAAGTTCGCGGGGCCACTGCCGTTTTAACATTCTTCGATAATTATAGGGATGGATGGTGCTGGATAAAGGTTGTGAAAAGGGATTTGAATGATAGGTAAGGTTCTGGTGAAATTTGGAGAATTTTGCTGAGATAAGGTCTAGGACAAATCGGATATTAAGGTCATGCTGTAGGGTTTTGTTGGTTACATAGAAAGGAGCATCGACTATTGTTCGAAGGACTTCGGACTGGAAGGATTGGATGCGTTTGATGTTAAAAAATTTTGCTGTTCCCCACAGTTCAAGTCCGTAAGTCCAAGTAGGTTTCAGTAGTGTCTTGTAGATAAGTGTTGCAGATCAGTTGAACATCTTTTGTTCTTCCCTCGCCATAACCAGCACTTTACTATTGGAGGTGTTAATTTGCATCCCTTTCCTCAGCAACTCTTCTTCCCATTCAACAAGAGCTTGTTGTAGTTTGGTCTTGGTGTCGGCTATTAGGACTATGTCATCAGCGTATAAAAGACTTTGTACAGGACAGTTTCCATATTCCATTTCCCAATTGTTGTCCACGCAGTTCGGCGCTTGCAGATTTTGTGGATTTCGTCCATTACATTTATAAATAGAAGGCTTATTATTATATGAATATTAATATTATGAATATTATGAATATTAAGCTATCTCCCTGCCTTACTCCTCTCGCAATTGGAAAAGGTTCCGAGTCCATACCAATTATCCTTATCACTGCCATGGCTCCTTGGTAGGCTGACTGTATGGCCGCCAGCAAATCTCCAGGTACACCCTTGGATATTAGGGCATTCCAAATTTCTTTTCTTAAGACCCCATAAAACGCTGCCCTTCAGATCAACGAATGCAATATACAGATTTTTATCTCTGTCCCAAGCTTTTTCAGCAGTATTTCTGAGAACAATGATGTGATCCTGCGTCTGTTGGCCTGGACGAAAACCAGCCTGTTCCGTTTCTAACTGCTCTTCCACAATCTACCGGAGTCTCCTTTCTAGAATAGAAGTGTAAAGTTTATAATACTACTGAAAGCAAACTAATGGGTCTATAATTCTTGCAGTCTGTTGTGCATCTTTTTTTATAAATCAATACAATACAATATTCTCAGTCACTGGAAATTTTCTCTCTGTCATATACTTCTTGGAACAGTGATTGAAGTGCTTTAAGAAGTTCTTGACCACCATATTTCAAATACTCTGGTGCAATTCCATCCCTTCCTGACGCTTTACCTCATTTTAGCTTATGGATTGCATTTTCTATTTCTTTTTTCTCTATAACCAGACTTTCTTGAATATTGGGCTCTTTATTCTTGGCAATGGTCTATTTCTGGGTTTTCGGAGAACTGTTCATGGAAATATTGCATCCATCTGCCAAGGATCTTTTCCTTGCCTGAAAGTACGATTCCATCGCTACCTTTTACATTTCTAATGGGTTTGCATTGCTTTCCTCTTAAAGTTCTTATAGATTCGTAATGGTACTCAGTCTAAATTTTACCAAAATCTTCCCATGACTTTTTCTTGGCCTGGCGTATGGCTACCTTACATTCATTCCTAGCTATTCAATAAACCTGTAGCTTTCCTTCAGTTCTTTAAGGTATGCTTTCCAGACAAGCTTCTTCTAAAAAACTAGTCGTTGGAGGTCATTGGACCACTAGTCTGTCCACTTTCCCTTACCAGACACTCTCTTCTTCCCACATACTGTATTTGCCATTTCCAGAATACATGTTTTCAGTGTCTCTTCAACATCTCCATCAAATGTCATTTCTCTTAATCTATTTTCCAGGCTTTCTGTAAAGAGCGCCCTTTTCTCTGGGTCATTCAAGGCCCTTACGTTGGGCTTTTCAAATGCTTTTATTTTCCTTTTATACTCAGGAATGATCTTTGTATCTGCCACAAGTAAAAGGTGATCACTGCCTATCTCCTCTCCTCTTTACTACTTTTATATCAGCGAAATACTACCTTATATTCCTATCGTATATGAAATCATCAATTATTCTATTTCATTCCATGCATGAGAAAGTGATTTTGTGGATTCTCTTGTGTGAATAGAAAGAATTTCCTATGGTGAAGTCATTATTGACACAAAAGTCTATTAGCCGCTGTCCATTACTATTCCTCACCTTCTCACCTCCATGCATCCCTAGAACTCCATATCCAGATCTTTCATTATTTCCTGTTCTGGTATTGAAGTCTCCGCAAAGGATTACTGATCTTCCTTTTCCTTTAGCTCTATCCACTATTATTTTTGCAAATCTGAGTAGAATGCCTCCTTTTCTGCAACACTAGCATCTTCCGATGGTGCATACACCTGGAATATGGAGATCTTAACTATGGTCATCTTAAAATCTGCTATAATCATTCTTGGAGACATCATCTCCCAGTCCTCTAAATGATCATACATATTAGGCGACATTACTAAGCCCACCTCTTCTGTGGCCAAAACCCCTCTAGGTATTCCAGCATAAATTAGGGAGTAATTATTAGCCAATTTCATTTCTCCACTGTCCTTCTTTTTCCCTTCACTTTTGCCGAGAATTTCTACTTTATAGGTCCTCATTTCCTCCACCAGCTCGAGCTCCTTCCCACTTAAAGTTTTTATGTTCCACGTTCCCATTCGTATATCCCTTAGCGCGCCAGGTCGTTTCTTTGAATACAGTCCGCGTCCGAGGCTAGTATAATTGCTTTGAATCGTTGTTTGATTAGCCCAGTGCTGGAGGCCCCGTATCCTCAGGACAACTGGCCTCCTGAATATTTATATCCCCTCAAGCGGAAGGGTAAAGTATTTTAATAACAAATAATAATAAGTATTGACTCTTCATACGCTTATTGAATCAGTTGTTATACTGTTATTTTTAAATTTTCTGTATTTATGTACATTTTTATTTATCAGACTCCCCCCCAGGGTCTCCTCCTGAACATTCTGCTGTAACTCTGACTCCTCTCGAGATGTCCAGGATTACCTTATGGAATTTGTATAACAACAACACACCACAAGAAATGCAGAAAGAAGCCCTTAATTTAGAAAAAAGGGAAGATACCCTACCACCTCCAGCAAAAAGGCACTACCCAGACAATGATGATGTAAATTACACTGGAGCACACATCAAAATATCAAGCAGAGGTAATTTTATTTATTCATTGTAATTATTTCTTCTTTTCCGTCACTTATATTTTTAAAGTAAGAACATAATTAATTATGCCATTTACTCATTTGAACTTGATATCTTTTCCCTGCACTGAGGGTACTTTTGGCAATAATCACTTGTGATAACCATACTTCAAAAGATTTTATATCTGTGTAATGCCAAGATTCAGCTTGATACCAGAATTTTCATTGTGTATTTTTTTGTTCAGTCTTTTAACTTTCTCTAATATCTCATCTCTTAGGTGTTAATTTGGCATTTATATTGCTTAGGAGTTCAAGATTCAGATGTGTAAGAATAAGTATAAGCCTAAACTGCATCTTTATTTTTTGATGATATCTTTCTTAGGAAAAAAGTAGTAGGAAGCTTTTTTAAATGGAAATAGAAATTTTTCACACTAACGCATTCTTTATCTTGTTCATTTATCATGGCAGGTACTTTTATTGAGATAAGAATCCATAAGTTTTTTGTTTTGAATGTTTTTCAGGTACTGTGTGTTCATCCTTTAGTACTGTTCCAATTACTATTATTGTTTCATTTTTTTGTCTTTAATCTTCATGTTATTCTTCTTTGTTAAATTCATGCTCATTTTTAAATGACCTCATTCTTGTTAAAGAATCTCTGTGCTAATCTACAAGTTAAGTTCATTGCTGGTATAAGTACGATCTAATTTACAATTTCTGAAATCTGATCTATACACTGGATTTTTTTGTATGGCTGAACGCAATAATAGAGTATAAATTATACAAACTGTCTTCTTAACTAATTCATAGTAAGAATTTTATCTCTTAGATGTGTTATTTCACATTTATTACTCTAATGTAGACAAAAAAACTGCCAGAACACTTTATCAGGTTCAGATTACATCAGATTTCCCTTCTTTCATTATCCTTCTTGTTTTATAAATTCTCTGTTAGTGTACTTTGTTGAATTAAATTTTCTTTTGACTAATGTGGGACAGCCAATTTGTTGCTAATATTGAAATTAAGCCTAATCTTATTTAACTTAATTAAATTCAATAATTTATAAATTTAATTTTAAAAAAATTAATATCTTTATAGAAACACCTCTTAGTACCATTTATTTATTTAATATATATATTTTTTTTTTAATAGGAGATGGCAGAGGATCCGAGAACTCATTAGTTGTGAGTATGGACATCAATGGTACTATGTACCAAGGTGTTTTATTTGCACAGACCTCACGCAGCAATAATAGGCTTCAATCATGAACTGAAAAAAAGAAAATAATTAAACATGAAAAATAAAGAAAGCTTGGGAATTTGAAATGATAAGATATTTTTAGAATTTCGATTTTAGATTTGATTCGAAATGATCCACAAATTTTGAAAAACATTATTCCTGTAAAATGTTTTAAATTTTTATTATTTTTTCTATAATTAAGTATTTGAATGTTTAGTGTTTCATTTTATTTATTTTTAATGATTTTTATAAGATATTTAATGTAAATATTACAAAACCTTACTTACATTTCTTATTGAAATATATTTGTAAGTATTTTTCAATGTTAAGGTATTCTGTGTATATCGTTTTAATGTTTTTCTATCAGTGAATGTATTCAAATGTGAATTTGTATTTTGTTTCATTTTTATGAAAAATTTATTCAATTTGAATCTATTGTATATAAATAAATGAAGTAGAACTTAAAATTAGATATCATTTTAATGATAAATTGTATTATTGTTGGGAACATTTATTTAAAGGTGTAGAATTAGCATGAAGTTCCAAATTTTAGTATACAGTCTGTAGAACGTGAAGTTAAACTAAACATGACTACTTAACTTTTATGAAGTTGGTTGAAAACAAATTATATAACAAAAATATTGGCATTGTAAACTAAATGCTATTTTGTTTTTAAATCGAAATAAAATTCATTCTAAAGACCACTTGATATTTATTACCTTTATCTTTTAACAGTGCCAGCCTTAGAGAATACACCTGGGGTTACCACCTGAAGGGTGACAATTTTTTAATTATTTTTTTTTAAATGAAGTCATTGCCTAGAGGAACTAAATAACTAAGGCCGGCTCTATATTTAAATATTGCATATAATATTAATATTGAATAATGTGATGTATACAAGGGAAAAAACATGTTAGTATAAATTTTAAATTTACTAAATCAAATTAGAACAAAGGAAACACCATTCTTTCACAGGTAACATTTTATTTGTATTATTACTTTTTTCCTTAACCACAGTGGGGCAACGTGTGTATTTAGAACTGTAAAACTCTTGGATGTCCTTTTAAAGGAAAAAAAAAAACTTTTACCAATTGTTTAATGATACAAAACCTTACTAAATTTTATTATGAAACAAAAAGAAAAGACTTACGGATGTTTCAATAAATAAATACAACTGTAACTTAAATAAAAAAATAATGTTCACAGAGATTAAACTCATCATAATCATGAATAAAAACAATTATAAAATATAATATTGAAGGAAGTTAGTAAACAGTTTTACATATCATAAATGTTAAATAGCCAGGACGCAGTCATTTTAAAATTTTTATTGTTGCCAATGTTTCAACCGAACCACATGCTTCATCATCAGGCCTGAAAAAAATTTTAACATCAGAGATATGTATATAAAAACAGATAATAGTTAGTAAAGGTAAATTTTTATGTATGAAATGAAAATGAAATGAAAATAGATTTTTATTATCCTGGGACTGTTGTCCCTTTAGGACAAATTATAGATACAGAGCAAATGCCTGTGTGGCCATAGATTAAATTAAATATTTACAATTCTCATTAAAATTAAAATATTGGGAGAAGAATAAAAAAAAAAAACACTACAGATAATATATAATACAAACATGGGAAAATAAAATAACATAAGTAAACAAAATCATTTCTGGGGGAACTTAAAAAGTTCTCTTATCTGCTTTTCATGACCAATCGGGTTGGGAAAGAAGAAGGTGCTTAAGAAGGAGAGATTTAAATGAGGAAACTGATTGTGCATGTCAGATATTGGGAGGGATGGTATTCCAGAGGGAGACGGCTTGAATTATAAAGGATTTGTCAAATGCAGCAGTTCAGTGAGGAGGTGGATAGAAATCGGAAGTATGGGATCTAGTGGGATGGAATTGAATGGAATATTTAAATTGTAGGCTGTGAAAAACATAGGAAGGTCGCTGAGTTCTGATGGATTGGTATAGAAAGGTAGCAAGAAAGTACAGACGGCGGTTGGATGGATAGAGCCACTTCAACTTGGTATAATACTGGGTTATATGCGTATCTCTTGAGATTCCGAAAACAAAACGTATTACGCAGTTCATTAGACGTTTAAGTTTGGCCTCCAATTCTCCCAAGAGTCTGTCATACACCAGACAGCCATAATCGAAATGGGGGAACACAAGGAAGGAAACCAGGAGTTGACTGGATTTATATAGAAGGAGATAGCGAAGACGGTTAAACTGTTTCAGGTAGAGATAGTGCGTCAGGAAATATGGGAGACGTGTGGTTTTCAGGAGAGGGTTTGATCAAAGATAACACCAAGGTTTTTTACAGAAGTATGGAATGAGATAGGTGAATTGAATTGTTCAGGAAAAGATTGGGGAGTGTCGATAAGGATTTGAGGAGTGAGGGAGTTCTGATCAGGATGGCTTTCGTCTTCTTAGAGTTTAGAGTAATTCTATTGTGGTTTGCCAAGGCACAAATTCCGTTTATATCTTCCTGTAATTTTTGGATGGCGTCAGAGGATTCAGTCAGATTGAAGGAGAGGTAAATCTGGACGTCGTCGGCATACAGATGGTATTGACAGTGTAGGATAGAGGATGTAGATGGAAAAAGGGTGGGAGATAAGGAGGAGCTTTGTGGACACCTCTGGACAGGGGTAAAGATTCCGATGGGGGGTTATTGGGGATTACAACACTGAGAGCGGCCAGTAAGGAAGGATTGGAACCAATTAAGGATACTAATTGAGAAGATATTTTTAAGCTTGGTTAGGAGAATTTTGTGGTTTACTGAGTCAAAGGCTTTGGAGAAGTCAAGGAGAATAAGGATGTTAAGTTTCTGCTGGTCCATGGCTGTATGAAGGTCTTGGGAAATTTTGATGAGGGCAAATTGAGTGGAGTAGCCAGGCCGGAACCTGGTCTGGCTGGGATTCTGTTAGGAGGTTATTCTGTTCTAAAATGTCGGATAACTGGGTTTAAACTTGTCGCTCTAAAGGTTTGGAAAGGTTTGAGAGAAGAGAAATTGGACAGAAATCATTAAGAGTTGATGGGTTGGAAGTCTTCTTCATAGGACAAACTAGTGCGGTTTTCCAGGATGTAGGGAAGGTAGTGTTTTGTAGTGAGTAACTGTAGATATGGTAGAAGATTGGAAGGATGAATGTTAGTGAGGCTTTGATCAGTCTGACTAGGATGTTATCGGGTCCATAATCATTGGTTTGCGATTTCTGAATGGCATTTGGAGGACATCAGGTGTAATATGGGAAAAAAAGAAGTGATCAGGATTAAAATTAAAAGGGAAATACATAGGAGGATGAGAAGGGACAGGAGACAAAGTGAGTGTTAAGGTCTTCAGCAGAAAAGGAAATGAACTGGGTTTAAGGTGTGTTACAAATGGCCAGTTTTTTTAGGATAGCCCACTTGGCCTTGGAGTTTGGTGTGTTAGGTAAGGAATGATGGAAATAACTGGATTTGGCTTGGCGTATAGCAGACTGGGTGCTGTTTTGAAGTTGCTTGAAGGCGATGTAGTCTTCCGGGAGTTGGGTACGTTTAAACTGATGTCTTGCAGCATCTCTTCTTCTCAAGCACTCTCTCAGAGCGGGTGTAGGCCAAGAAGCTGGGGGATGGTTTTAGTTAGGAGAGTAGAATGGCAGTCGAGGATGGTATGAAGATGGTTGATAAGGATTTCTACCATGACATCAATGGATTTTAAGGAATAAATGGGGTCCCACTGGGTAGCATTGAGATCCTGCAACAGGGCTTCATAGGTGAGGGAATTGAGGTTTCGGAAGGATATGGTTCAAGGAGAAAAAAATGGGACCGGGATGTTGTAGGAAATCTGGATAAGATCATGGGAAGACAGAAACGGAACCGGGTGCTGAGATGCTGCGAAGAGTTTATCCAGGGAATCCAAGAAGAACAGATCAAGCCAGGACTCTGAGGACTGGGTATGATGGGTAGGGTTGTAAGGTACTATATAAAGGCTGAGAGATTGGAGGAGGCTGGTCAGGTAGGAATGGTCAGAGGATGGTATCATCAAATTGGTATTGAAGTCTCCAGAGAGGATGATATTTGAGTAGGAAGGGATCAAGTTGTAAAGGGAGGTCTCAAATAAATCATCAAAGAGAATTCTCAGAAGAAAGTAAATGACTGCAAAGAGAAGGGGAGATGATGGGGTTAGGATTTCAGTAAATAGATATTTTAGGTGTGCAGAATCGGTATGGGAAGAGCGATAGAGGATTTTGAATTTAAGACTGTCATGGACAAAGGGACCTACACCACTACCTGTACGCTCCACTCTGTCATGACGAAGGAGGGTATAGTTGGGTAAAGTAATTTGGAAAGACGGAATAGAGGGCTTTAATCAGGTTTCAGAAACTGCGATTAGAAGTAAAAGTTGTGGAGGAAAAAATCATAAAATTCATCAAAATGAGCAAGGAGTGACTGAGCGTTGATGTAGTTAGTGGAAAGATGGGAAAAAGTCATATTAAATAATGGTCAATATATTGTAGATTAAAATTAATTTTATGTCTATAACATTGAGTTTTATTTTATCCCGAAAAACCGAAAGGACTTTTTTGCCAATCCAATATATTATTAATAGTTTTTATAACTTATTAAGTATTTCAATTGTTTATCTCATGTATCATAAATAACTATTTACCATTATTAACTATTATCTGTTTTTATATACATATCTCTGGTGTTAAAAAAATGTTCAGCCCTGATGATGACCCATAAGCTTGAGTCGAAACGTTGACAACAATAAAAATCTTAAAATGACTGCATTCTGACTATTTATCACCTATGAAAATATAATATTGTACACAAAATAAGTACATAATTCTTAATTTCTACATCTAATTCTAAAAGTCCATCCCAGAATATGATTCCAATTCCAAAGGAGAAAATAAAAGCAGTGCATTGCCACTTTATCTAAAGGAGCTTTGCTTGTATTTATCTTCTCTCTAAGGTGTTTATTATAAGAAATGTTTGATACAATAGCATCAGAACAAAATAACAATGAATGGAATAAG